ACCCCAAAATGTTGAACTACTCCTTTAAATTCCGTCAGTGACATAGCGGCAGAACAATGCCCACATTAAGAGAACCAATCATGCGTGTTCATTCGTCGTTCGGTGGCCAATGTTCCTCTAAACCTTCATTTGATTCCTGAGTTTTTTTTCAACTGAACGGAAACGGTTTCTATTTACCAACATTTTGTTGAAATAAGATTACAACAATAATCAAATTTTTTTTTACCACGTCAACACTCTTCTGACAACATTTTCATGTTAAGCTAAAGTGACACATTTTGTCACAGCACACTGGCCATTTCTTGGGAGCGGTCATGTGATCCGAGTCCTGTGAGGCATGAATAGAGAGAAGGAATGTGGATCCATCGTTCACTCTATTGTTTTCCTCCAGTCTTTCCAACTCTGCGGCATTCAAGTATCAGACCGACAATGAAAAGGCCTGTTCATGTTTAAAACAGATGAATTTGTTCAACCTGAACAGTGAGTTTCAGCTGTAAGTACCATCACTTTGGTCAAGACTGAAATATCCATCAAAATAACTGTTTGATGGATTGCCATGACATTTTGTACACACATTCACAGTCCTCAGAGGATGAATCCTACTGCCTTTGGTGATCCTCTCACTTTTCCTCTGGAGACATCAGGTCAAAATTTTGATTTTTAAGTACTTTGGTTTATAACCAAATACCTCCAAAACTAATGACATTCCCATCAATCTCAGCTGTACAGTACTCTGTGCTGAGTGCATATTAGCAAATGTAGCATCTAAAATAGAATGGTGAATATGGTAAAAGCTGCTAAACATCAGCATGTTAGCATTGTAAGCATTTTAACCACACAGAGGTGTTAGTGTGACTGTAGAGCATTAGTTAAAATAAAACTGTTGTGAAAATAAATGAGCCAAACATAAAAAAAAAATCAAAAATGCACATTTTTGATCCGTTTCTGTGCGACAGTCTTTGAGACTTGAACGTTTTGGTGATAACTATCTATGTCATCGTTTCTATTCTTTAAAGCATGGGCTGAGAGTACAAATGTGTGTTAACAAGCTCCTCAGAGCATCCTGGGTGTCAACGGTCACTATTTCTCAGTTTCATTTTTACAAAATATTTTAAATCGTATCAATCAAAAATATCTAAAGATGTCCCTCTGGAGAAAACTATTTGCATGAACCAGGATGATGACTATATAGTCCAAATGACCTAACCCAGCTGTGTCAAGCCCCCCCGGGGGAACTTAAACAAGGCAGTGATAGTTCACTTGACAGCGTTCAAAGGCTTCACTTCACTTCCTCTCTTCAAGGTCAGTATGTGGCAGCACGGACAGCCGAGGTCAAGCGCCTGTCAGCCCCTCAACAAAAACAGCTCATGTTCCTCAACAATCAGGGGCTTGTTGGAGGATTCCAGTGCCGCCATGACGGAGTGAGAGGACGGTGAAACTGTATCCTGCTCGCTGCCTCTCCCTCCCTCAACATGTATCTGTATCCCTTCCTCTCAGTCATCATATCGTCAGAGTGGAAGCCTTCAGTTATCACAAGCAGGAGTGCTCCTTGAGTACAATTCTGAGATACTTCTATGCCTCTTTATACTTCTACTCCACAACATCAATAAGACAGCTGCAATGAATCTATTTGTTACTGTTGAGTTTAAAAGTTTACATATAAAACATTATAAAAATCATTTCAATACAATAGCTTCTATTACCCAAAAGTACTGTATAGCAACTCTACTCCAGTCCAGATCCTCCCAGTGAGCCCAGATCCCATTCTCCTAACTCACTGTTTACAGCTTGTGTCCAGAAAGACCTCACAGTAAAGCCCTAATGATCCCTCTGCTTTATGCTGTACTTTTAAACCACGCCTAATCCCCGTCAGCCATTCAACGCACTTTACCTGTAGCCATCTCCTTCCTCCCTGTATTCGTCCATCACCCTCTCTTAAAGTCGAAATGCACACTTGTTCTATTCTTCGGCCTCTCCTTTACCTTCAAAGCCAATTACAGCCCATTACTCCTTGAACTCAAGAGGCTTAATGAGGCTCTTTTAAAAGAGAGCGCCCTAGGGGATCTACTGACATGGGAGTGGTCGTCCTCAGTTACACGGTCTGGTCGCAGGATATTACCCCTCTATTTCAGCATCGGGACAGAGCACACCCATCCCCACTACACCTATCATTCAGATTGGGAGGCTGGTCTGTTTGTCTCCATTTAGTAGTGAAATATAACTGTAAGAATATACAATCCACCTGTACAATTTTGAGGTACTTGTACTTGAGTTGAGTATTTTGCTACTGTATACTTTCAAAGGGAAATATTGTTACTTTTTACTTAATTTTCCCTGTGGTAAGTACCACAAAGTTTCCACAAAACTTATTATTTATTATATTATTAGGAGCACAAAACAAATCCATTCAAACAACAGTTTGAGCATGTGTAAAACTATATACTATTTTACAAAACAGCAAACTACATTTGGGGCGTTTTAGGCAAAAAAAATGAACCAACACAATTTTAAAGTTTGACATATTTACCACGCAGCTCAACACACGTGATAATCCGAGTGGGGGGCACACATACCTGTTCTCCACCACTTGCTGTCAAACTGCTCAGCAAACTGTCACTCACATGTTCGCGATGTTTGCCCAATTTGACCACATTTTCCTGCAGCTTTCATGTGCGGTAATCTTCTCAGAAAGCCCGTTCTTGACCTGCAGGTAGCCCACCATCGCATCGAAACACATGGGAAGCAAACAGTACCTACCGCTCCACCTTAAATCTCTGGTGGTTAGGGTTATAACGATATCCTGTGGTTTGTTTGTCTTCCAAAGGCAGAGTTTGTGCTGTATAAAATAATCCATATTTTTCATGGGGACAAGTTATCTTCTTAAAATAAATACTAACACCCAGTGTCTTTGAAAGATATATCAGTAAATATAACGCCTGCCAGCCACCGTTACAGCGAAGCTACAGGCAATTAGCCCAATCAATTCCAATCAGCCCCGTCCGCGTGGCTTTGAGCATGCGCATTGTAGTTTCCCCACACTGGCCACTTGACTTGTGAGGGTGGGTTCAATCAAAACCTTAAACTGAGCAACAAAATCATAATTAGAAGCAGCAACCGAGGATATTATATGTCATGCATTAATCCAGAATTATATTAATTTCTAAATAACTTTTTCCACACTTTTTTTCCTGCTGCCAGCAGGTGGGGCTTTGTATGAAGGTTTAGTCACCAGCTTTTTCACGCGCTCCAGCGAATGGATGAAGAAGTCAGTTAAAAGCTTAAGAAGTGTTTAAGAAGTGAACATTGAGTTTAGAATATTACGGATGTGGATTAGCTTATTGTGTCTTCATAATGCATTTAAATCGGTTTATGTTGATGTGAATCAGGTCCTGACTATTGAAATACAGGGCTGAAATGATTTGTCAAATAATTGATTAGTTGATCCACAGAAAATGTATCAACAACAATTCTGATAACTGATTAATAATTTGGTTAATTTATTGTATTAAAAGCCAAATATGTGCTGTTTCTGTGTGAGAAATTCGAAACAACTGGTGCTTTTTCTACAAAATTGGAAAATTAATATTTTTTGATTCTGGACCGTTTTTGGTTTTGATAGTCAATTTTCAACCAAATAATTAGTTGGAACCCTAATGTATTCAAAAGCTGTTAAACAACTGTTGCATGCATAAGCTAGACCTCTAAAATCATTCAGTTTTAAACTAAAATAAGGTTGGTTGGTTGTAACCCAGATGTCTTCCGACCTTCAAATTTGCATTTGGCAAATTACATCCAATAGTTTCAGAGCTCTGTGGTAAGTCATAGGAGTTCACTGCTGCCACTCGCAAAACTACGTTTCATAATACAAACTGTTCCAAAACGGCAGCAGAAAATGTTTCAGGAGTCAGTTCTGTTTCACTATAAGAGCTTCTTCTTCTCTTTCCTCGTAACCTGGCTGCCCACACACGCCCACACGCACACGCACACACTTAAGAAGCGGGTGAGACATAATGAAGGCTCAGTTACTGACATGCCTTGCACTGTGAAAGAGCTCCATATTTTTTCATCCACATTACAAAAAAACAAAACATATTTAGTCACTTCCCTCTTGTTTTGGTTTTTATGTGCCTAAGTTTGAGATATCTGTCTATGACATTACTGCTTCATCCCAAGTGCAACAGAAGTCAAAGGAATCTCTTTTCAGAAAAATCATATTTAAAAAATATGATTTTTCAAAAAGTTGAAAGTTTTTTAGTAGAAAGTAGTGATTCGTTTTTTGTTGTAATTTAGGTCAGCAAAAAACAAATGACTTTAATTGTAAATATAATAAAAGAATGTTTAATGTGTTATGTGTGGTGATTTGTAGTTTTGCTTTTATGAATACACAACTTAATCGCAAGGGGGCCCTGTGCACAAATATTAATGCACTGCAATTACATTGTTACGTATATGTATATACTGTACATACTCACAGCCACGCTGATTCACTTTAAGCTGTTTGGCTCCTTCAATGTGCAAAATGAGAGTTTGAGCAGGAAATGAGAGAAAACACACACACACACACACACACACACACACACACACGCACACACACACCTTCTCTGGAGTCATTTTTCCATCTTTCGGCAAATTCTATCTGAACTAATATTATTCCCAGCTGTTATGAGGCTCAAACCCACACTAATCAAACAGCTAAATGGTACCACCACCTGGTCAACAATGGTTACTGCAGTTATAAGGCACACAAAAGAAGAAAATCCACAGAAATGGTGATTTAGTGCCACCTGGTGGATTCATACCGCCATTACTGTTCTGTTTACGGTCATTTCAAAACACACAAAAAACAAATCCCACAACTTAGTGACAAATGCCTACAAATTAACGATCTCATTGACTCCAAGGTAAACCAAACAACATCATTTAATAAATGAGTTTGCAATACAAAACATCTGTGCAAAAATGTTCAGACAAAATACAAAGACAAGGCCTCTCTTGGTCAAAGGGACAAGCATGTAAACCTTCTTTAATTATAAGGTACACTGATATTGAAATATAAATTTACTTGTATTTTGTTTTCTTTTTGTTTATTGGACGTAAAATAAAAAAGGCACAACAATGTTTTATTTTTGTTTGGTTTTGCCAAATACAAAAATACCTAGACTTGATTAAGATTCACAGTCTTGCGTACAAGTGGTTTTGCACTGCTCGATTAGTACACATAAATCCTCACATGCTGGATGGAGGTTAAGTGTACAAACTCAGATGTCAAGGTAGCTCGATTTGCTTCAGAGGAACAAAAAAGATAAAGAGACAAAAGACAGCAATAAAATATAAAGTCAATGGGATAATTAACTTAAAATGAGTCAAAACATCTTGGACTAGATTTGACAGGAGGAACAAAACATGCTTCTGTTGATCATAGTTGGTTTGAATAAATGATCTCGGGGTAAACTGAAGCTCAGTCTTGTATTATTATGGTTTATTTTCATTTTATTCTGCAGTGAATTGGAGAAGCTGCTTTTGTTGTAGTGAAATCAGGTAGTCAGTGTTTAAGGGGACATGAACTAAATAATGAAAATCTGGTCTATCTACAGTCCACAAATGTCAACTAAAATACTTTACCATTAAAAAAGTCTCTACAGGCAACAAGCCATCTTAACTCCGCTTCATGCTCTGCACATCAGCGGTGAGATGCTATCAGCGTGCCATGCTTGTGCCGTACTAGATAAGTGTTAAGGTTAGTTAATACAGCTGATTGATAGAGTGATAAAAAAGTGCAACACGTACAGTCTGGGACGCTTTTTACAACCATTCAAAACCAATGATTGTCTACAACACAGAAGGTAACTAAGATCACAAACTGATGTGTTGCTGCAGCTGGTTCTGTGACTTTTATTTTCTGATATGAAAAGCGTCATATTTACTTTACTTTGCTTCTAATAAACCACCATCAAATAATAAACAGCTGAGGCATCATTTGTGTGATTACAGGACTGGGAATTATTAATCATTTTCCAAAAATATTGTCGCATCACTAAAGGTTATTCAGTTAAATGCCTCCAAAAATGTAAATGATTACATGCTGCTGGAAGTGTGAAACATATAAATACAGCTGTACTTTTCTGAGACATATGGGCATATTCATTTAGCTCTTTTCCTTTTAAAAGTTGCATTCACCCTTGTTGGGATCAAGTACAGTTGGAGCCAGGTGTTTACGGATCATTTACTGATATAGAACCAAATGAAAGCAACATGCATAAATCTCTCTGCACACGGTGATGCAGTCTGAAGCCAGCTCATGAAAATAATACTTATTAAGGTCTTCTGTTCAGGCACAAAGAGGGCATGAATGTAAGCACATCAAACATACTAATCATAGGTGTTTTTGTTCAGGTGCATGAGGCTGATTTTTGTAATGGCAACATTATCTACAATGAGCCTCGTGTGTTTTAGCCCTCCCTGCTTTGAGTCCTTCACTCGTCCATGTCTCCAAAGGTGATATTTGAACACAGATGCTGAAAAACAGGAAAGGAAAGGACAAAGACATAAAGACAAGCCGTGTGAATACAACTCCTTCAAAATTCAAACTGGAAAAAAAATAAAAATAAAAAATCCAAACCCAATTTGCAACTAAAATGTTCTTTTGTGAGGGTGAAATTTTAGCTTTACATCACTGACAGTACATTTACCCCAGCCCTCGCATGGTGAGTGAAGCGTTTGTGCCCTGAGACGGGTCCAGCTTAGCTGTGGAGGATATGTTTCCTGAAGTTAGATGCCATGTCTGCCATGTTTATTGACCAATCAGAAGAACTCCCCGCTTCCTTCTTTCTCAGCCTTGGAAGCTGTGTACTGAGATTTGAAGAAGGCAAAGAGGCCTGTGTCCATGTCGCAATAGTGTGTCAGATAGTCTCATTGAGGTTGCACAAAAAACATTCAGGTGTCACTTCCAAAAGGATTTTGCGTGAAAATGCCTGTGCCAGGACGAGTACTCTGGCCAACTCATCACCAGTATCTGCTTTAGTTGCAAGTCCAGCTGATTCGATGGGGAGCCGTCACATAGTCGTTACCGGTCTGCAATACGTGGAACCCAAAAGGCCATTGGTACGCCTTGTATACTGGTGTATTGGAGCAGTTCGATGTTGGTCTTCTCAGTAAAAGCTGCTGCACTTGTTCTCATTGCTGTTCCCATTTTTGTTTGCTCGGCTATCACTTGCTAAAAGCAGTTTATTTGCTGTACAAGCTAATGCACAGCACAGATTTCTGTTCTGATACGTCAAGAAACAAGCAAGTCGCACCACTGCTGAAAGGCACCCAAAGGTCCCGGTATGAGTGTCAGCGTTTCCTTCACGTCCTGCATGAAACAGTCCGTTAACTCAGTTGTTGACACAGGAACTTTTTGTCCGACTGTGATACAAACCATTTTCTTAGGAAGTAGGATGGACTTGCTACTTTTTCACGTTTAAAATCTATTCCTCAATAAAAAGTTCTTGCTCTTGAATATATATCTTTGTATTTCACTCATTATTTCAGGACGTATGTACCGTATTTACACAAAGGTTAAAATAATAACACAACATTTTCAAACCATGGCGGTGAAATACACATGCTTTTAACAATAAGGCAGTAAAAAGTCAGACAGCTGTGGATATACTTGTGTAGCTGCGGCAGTGTTTCTTGCACACTCAAAGTTTTGGGTGGTTTCTGTTGGGTCTCCATGTGATGAGAGTAGAAACGTTAGACTGGGTCCCTGTGTTAGAAGCTAAACTTCTCAAATGTGGGTCCCGAGCAGAAAGAGCGTGAGTGCCTCTCTGTCTATCTACAGGTCTGCGGTGATGACCGAGTCGTACATTAGTACGTCAGAATCCGCAGCGAGCAGCGCCTTTTGTGATGCGTGGTCCAGCTGTCCCACTCCCCTCTGGCAAACTTGTCCGTACACCTGAATCGGCCCTCCACTGCTCCCCGGCATGATGCAGTGGGAGAGCAGCGGCGTGTTGGCGTCATGGTTGGAGCCCGTGGTGGAGGGCCCTCCGCTGACGTGGCCCGTGCTGGTGGAGCCGCTGGCGCTGCTGGGTGAGCGGCTTTTGGGAGGGGGCAGGTGATGCTGGATGACTCTGGTCGGTGGGGCCGGGGGAGGGAAGTGGGCTGGAAAGGCTGCGTATCCTGGTGGGATAGGGTACCCGTTGACGGGGATAAAGCGCTGGTGGGTTTGCGTCACAGCCATGGGTGTCCAGGCTTGAATAGGGCCCATCTGGCCCGGAGAGGGGATAGCCTGTGCTGGGTAGAGGTACCCTGCAGCCGCGGCGGCAGCAGCAGCGTAGCGGGGGTTGCTGAGGTTGCTCACGGGGCTGGCGCTCAGCGAAGTGGTCTGGGTGGTGGCGTTGCCTCCACCACCAGAGGGCGTGCTGGAGCTGGCGTGGGACGACAGCCCCTCCCAGGCTCGCAGCCGGAGGTGGATGTCCTTGAAACGCGTTCGACGTGTTGGTCCCTCCTGCCAGCATTCAGTCATCAGACCATAAAACCTGAGAGACAACACAGTTAGTTAGTTATCAGGCAATTGTAAGAATTCCTCAACAAAAACTCTGTAAATGCTAACTGTTGCTAACTGTTCAAACGCCCGACACTCGCAGCGTTGGTTGTCTTAACTTCAGAACAAGGTGAAGATACAGTGAAGTTTGTGAGCTTTGTACCACCAGGTGCATCATGTTTGTACTATTGCATCATCTTCTCGTTATGTACTTCCCAGCTTATGCTGAGCAGCAATATTAACTTGAACACACCTTGGTGGACAGTCCTCGGGGCAGGGCAGCAGCTGCCTCTTTCTCACCATCTCCATCACTTCCTGGTTGGAGAAGCCGTAAAAGGGCTGCAGACCGTAGCTGAAGATCTCCCACAGCACAACTCCGAACGACCAGATGTCCGAGTCTGTGGCGAACTTGCCGTAAACGATGGCCTCTGGGGGCATCCAGCGGATGGGCAGCAGAGTTTTGGGCTGGAGGCAGTAGTAGTCTGAGGAGTAGATCGCTCTGGAGAGACCAAGGTCTGAGATCTTGATGTGGAGCTGTTCACCTACTAGAATGTTCCGAGCTGCGAGGTCTTTATGGGTGTAAAAGTGGCTGGCCAAGTACTCCATCCCAGCCGCCACCTAGGTTTGAATAGTCAGAAAGAAAACAATCATTTAAGGAGGAAGTACCTGTGAAGTACGTCTGGTATAAAGCAAAGTGGGACGAGAAACAGCATAGAGAGAGATACCAAATTTGAGCTCAATTAATTAATCAGCAATCCATGAATCTCTGCTTTCATATCCCACCTGTATGGACATGTGCAGGAAGTCTCCATGATCCAGGCTGGATTTCACAGTACCGTCCTCATCGCTGCTGCAGCCGACGTCAGAGTGTGGTGAACGCATGATCAGGAACTCGTGGAGGTCGCCTAGGGGCAAAAACTCAAACAGCATACAGACGGGCTGCTCCTGGATCACCACACCCAGCAGGCACACCACATTTGGGTGCTGCAGCTCGGTCAGCACGGCAGCCTCCTGCGATTGAAACACGAAAGACGTCGGTGAACTTCAAGCACAACGAAAGGAAAGACTTTTTATATGCTCATCAGAGCCTGATACCTTAACGTGACACTCCAGCTTAACTAAGTCTACGTATTGAGGCCTTGAAAGGTGGCCGTGAGAAGTTTGTTGAGCGTTTCAAACTCAAAAGACAGATGTTTTGGTGTATCGCTTTGAAGGCTGGCAGTTCAGGTCTCAATCTCTCTACATTGAAAGGGAGGATTATGTTTTTACAAGTCCTCTGTTTCAGTCCTTCTTAAAATCTAAATTTATCTGGACAGTCCCACAGTTTATATTTGGAACTATTTCAAGTGAAAAAAAGGGAGATTTTTAGCTGTATACAGTCTGCCATCGCCCACCACGTTTACCTTCTGTGGAAATAAAACAAGTCATGCCTCAAGTCTTGTGGGAAGAGAGATGTTTCCAATGGGAAAGTAGTCCCTTGTATTATAAAACAGTAGAGTATTTTAGTTCCACCTCCACAAACAATTACCGGATAGAAGCATGTCGTTAAAATGACTTACTATTTAGCCTTAGAGCTTCTATAGATGTTACACTTTGTTGATTTAATAATATATATATATTTATAAACGTTTGAGCTTTTTTGAAGCTTTGGAGGGAGGAATCTACTCCGTACCTGCTGGAATTCACCCCACTGTTGGGCATTGGAGATATCCTTTAGGGTCTTTATGGCCACGAGCTGTGCCTGGTCCATGCCCGGCAGATACAGGTGACCCTTGTAGATCTTCCCTAAATTGCACTCTCCAAGCTCCTCCATGAAACGCACCGCCGACAGGGGAAGCTCTTTGGCCTTACTCTGCAGAGAGAAGAAGAGGAGGCCGGAAAGAAAAAAAGGAAGACGTGAGATCGGTGGGAAGAGAGATGTGACAGAAGAATTAGATCATTGTTTTCTTTGTACTCTTTCCTCACCATTATCCTTGAAAGGAAAAGTGAAATGTTGACATGAAGTTTACACTGGTGCCGCTAAACCGATGCAGGCGAACTGCCTAAGATAACATGAAATATGTGTTTGAGTAGTAGAATAAATAAATAAAAGTATAGCCCAGAGAGTAGATAATTGTTCTAATCATACTGAATCCATTACATCAGCTCCTAACAACTCCCTTTAAGCCTTTGGAGAGCAATGTGGGAACATTGTGAAATTTGGCAACTCGTCCTCAGTTTAAAAATGCCATTTCGCTGACAGGTTAGCAGCTTTTACAAAGACTGGGCAATTCATTATTCTGCCAGTAAAACTGTAGAATCAGCTGCAGAAAGGACAGAAAAAGCTTAGCTGTCTTTGCTAGCAGGGACATTTTAGTCTTGTATTCTTACCAAGGAGGACAGACTGTAGACTGTAGGTAAACAAAGAACATTTGCTAATTCTGTATTATTATGTTTTCATTCGTGTATAATCACCCGAAACTAAGAATCGTTGTGTTGTCATTTAGAATGAGCCCTTCATATCTACATAGCAAGCGGGTCCTCTTCAAGGATGTAAAACCACAGGAAATATTCAAAATAATGAACATTCATTTTTAAAAGGTGAAGCAAGGTTGGCAGAGATTGTCAGATTCCAGGAACTATGAGATGAATAATTAAATTCCTCAGTGAGCAGGAGAGCAACACAATTCTGAGGGGGGTAGTATGTATGTGTGTGTGTGTGTGTGTGTGTGTGTGTGTGTGTGTGGGAGAGAGTGTGGGGACTTACTGATGTTATGAGAAGCACAGATGTTTTTAGTTACGGGTTTGTTTCACCCGTTCTTTCCTCCCCACACCCAAACCCTCAGATCCTCCTCACACCACCGCAGGTTTCTGTGTGTGTGTGTGTGTGTATGTGTGTTTATGTTTATGTGTGTCTAAAGGGATTGTCATGGGCAATGGCCCCTTGGTGACCCGGCAGCAAAGCTTAACCCAAGACAAAGGTGTAGATAAGAAGGGTAAGGAAGAGAGACACTCTTGGCAATAATACTGTATAATTTGAGGGTTTAACGCTCATCAAAAAGGTTTTAAAAAGATAGAAATCAGATGCAAATCCTCATTTAACCAAATTGTCTTGTAGGTGGAGTATCAAGCTTCCAGATTAGATGCTTGGGCTGGAAAAGAAGGTGAGAACTGCACCTCTGTAAAAGCTCTTACAATGGATGGTTATGCAATCGGATATGTGTGGACCATATTTCAGGCCCTTGTTTTCTATGAGGACCATTTCAAATTCACTGTATAATTCCATAACTGCATGGTTGTCACTCTGGAAAACTTTCTTTGATCTCCCGTGACCATGACTGTTTGCAGATACATGGCCGTCATCTAAACACAGCATGAAAATAAAACAATCCTCATATTAATGGCTTCTGACGTGTCTGTGACATGTTGCGGTTCTTTCTGCAGCTGTAGATGGTAATATTATACACATTACCTTGAGCATCGACTCTGCTTTACACAAACAGACACACTGTCTAGATAATCCCCCCCCCACCACCAACTTCACCACCACAAAGAAAATGATGTGGAAAAAGATAAACAGACATGATATGACTGAGTGTGCAACCTTGAAAGAAATATGATACAGATCCTAATGTGGGCTATGTGTGTTGGCTGGCAGAGCAGGGGCTCGGTGATCTGCATTACAAAGAGGTTCTGTGACAGAGGGAGGGAATGAAGGAGAGAGTGAAGGGTGAAAAAGAGGTAAAGGGATGGAGGGAGAGACAGAAGAGGAGCAACAAAGAGAGATGGATTAAGTGAGAGGGAGAGATGTGGAAAAAGAAGAGAGACAGTGGGAGAGAAATAAACAGAGGAAAAGAGCTGCAGCTGAACATTCCTGGACCTGCAGAGCTCTGAAGATCGAGATCTGAGGCTCTGCCTGACGGGTCATTTTCACAAACACACACACACACACACACACACTCACACACACACACACACACACAGGCGCGCTCACACAAGCCACTAACCCCAGCATGCTGAGACATATCCCAGTTGACACACAGTCGAGCTGTGCCAGTGTTTTGACTCCTTCATCAGTCTGCTCTCATGACTTAAAAAGACAAACGCAGCAAAAGGGCGCTGATCTATATTCACACAGGAGAGTAAGTGTGTCTTAGCAGTACTGGTGCTGGGGATGCTTATAGAGAAGTGAGATGATGAAGATGAGAAGATGAAGATGTTGAACATATCCCTAACCTAGTGGCATTATGTGCAGTGCAAAATATTATGCTGTGACATCTCCATGAGTCTAGTGTTTACACACCTAACAGGTCAAACTGTTGGTGCATTTCATTTGGTTTGTTTATGCTGGTGAGAAAGCTGTCAATCAAACTTTTTGTGGTGTGAAAGCAAACTGAAATGTTCGGTAATGTATAAAAAAGCGGTTTGCAACCCAGCATTCTTGTTTGGTGGCTGATGAAGGCTCATGTTGGGCTTTTGATCAGCACTATGTCGTTGAAATAAAGAGCGATCGATGAAAAGACAAAAGTCTGTGTGCGGTCCTGATCCTTCAACGTGAAAGCAAAGCAAACCAACCGCATTAATTCAAAATATAAAGGTTTGCTGAATTCACCTGCTGATTGTCGACTAAAATAAATTTGTTTTTTTCTGATATATCAAAGTGAAAATGAGTTCAAAGAGCTGCTCTATTTATTTTAGCAATCTTCATTCACTCATGGGAACTAAATAATACATTTGAGATGTTATGTGATTGATTGGAATTTGTTTATGACATTTTTTCTGTATGACATCCTCATGCTATTTAAAAAAGTGTTCATGATATGGAAGTCTTTATGTTTCGTTAAGTCACATTTTGTCCTTGTGGTGTGTAAACATGGAGGTGAGGAATTGCACATCAAGGAATTGGGGACGGAGAGTACTGCACCACCCACAGTGTCCCGTGCTGTGACTGCTCTACCTTTGGCTTGTATGCAGTCGTGAGCATGGACATCTCGACGTTTTGTCCTCGGACCGGTTTGGGCTGGCGAGGGGCGGGAGGCGTCGGGGACTTCTGGTTGTTGCGGCACACGCAAATAAAGAAGAAGAGCAAGGCGATGGCTAACGGGATCGCCACACTGGGAACCAGGATGTACAAGATCTCCATGTTGCTGCCGCCAGACATGTCTTTATGGTCTACAGGGACGGACAGAGAGAGAGGAATAATATCAGATATAAAGATTATTGTACGACTCGATGATACAATGTGATAAAGACGCATAATTGAGCTGAACAATTTTGATTGAATAACAGATGAAATCATTTTCCTGATGTATTAAAAAGAGATCTTTGGGTTTTGGGCAAGAAATCTAGGTTGTCTAGGCATTCAGGAAATTAAATTTTTCACTATATTTGAACAATTAATTGCAAAAATAATTATTACTTGAAGCTCATGACATATTAATAATAATTTTAACAATGTAAAAAGAATAAAGAAGAAATTGTGGTGATTTTGCATAATCGGACATTTTCAAGGATACATTTGTTACATTGTTTTTACGATGAAAAACAGGAAGACCAAAGCAAATATCTGCAAATGTGTTACAAAGACAGCATTACACCCAATGTATGTCAGTGTAGACTTAAACATATTCTCATCTCTTACCACAGACGGGTATGTCACAGAGCTCCATGCGGACCCCCTCGTCCAGCGTGAAGCACCAGGGGGCCTCGAGTTTGTTCCCAGGGTTGCGGCAGTAGGAGTGTCCTCCGTTCAGCTCCGCGTAGCGGATGGCCAGGTAGGTGTGGCTGTGAGGATACTGAGAGTTCCACGGCTGACACTGACGGCCCGACTTGGTCTTGCTGACTGTCCCTCTGTAGTCTGTCCCGCTGTTGTTGTAACACTTGTGATCTAAAAGGAGAGGAAGGCGTGGTTGTGCATTAGAGGTTTGTGTTAGGGCTCGCGTCAGCACTTTTGTTTTTGAGGGGCAGGTAGTGGACCAGGTTTATCAAGGAGCTCACAGGAGTATTGAGTATTCCACTGATGAGCTGCTGGTGGACTGACAGAAAGCCCACACGTTTGCTTGTATACTTGAGAACTTTTAAGCCAACTACTTTGAGATTTGTGTCAAACAAACAACTTTAATAAGAATGTGTTCGACGAACTAGAGCTGCAACCATTATTTGATTAGTTTGAGAGTTTTCTAAACAGTTCCTGTGAGCAGATACAAAACACAAGGATGCTTCTCCTCATATAAAAATAATGAGCTCTATTAGCAGAAGTATAATAAAGGAAGCCATGCAACCAGCAGGTGAAGGTGTCTCACTCTTGTTTATGGGCTCGGCCATGGGGATGCCGATCCTCAGACAGTTGGCTGACTCCGGGCTGTCAAAGGAAGCTAGGTCCTCGCAGTTCGGCAGCTTCAGTCTCTTCAGGATGAGGGGGTTTGAGCGGGCGATGATGTACTCTGTCTTACACAAGTCGTTCTCCAGGATCTCACACTCGTCCTTACACAGGTCCCGGGGTTTGTCGGTTCCAGAGCTCCGGTCGCATGTCGGGAAGGCAAAGTGGCAGAGAGAAGGGATGGCAAACTGGGAGCAACGATCAGACAAATGGTTGGATGTCCCGATCATGGTGAAGGCCGCTGTACAGAAGGGAGACAACAAAAGTAGTTGCAGAATAGAGATTTATTTTAAACAACACAGTCTGGTGTCATAATTCACCTAGAAACTAAGAATCTATATTAAGATTTTTATTGTTTTTTAAGAGATAAGACCCAATAAAAATGAATTATTTCTATATTCCTGGGTTTATTCTTTCTTATAATCACTTAAAAGACACAAAAAAGACGAGAAGTTTAAAAAGCATTCATGTGCTCACATTGCTACTAACTCCTGAGCATCTAAACATTGGAAGGATCAAAGAGGGAGACTGACAATGAAAGCTGCAGCTGATTCATAGTTGTACTGTACGGTTATTGCAAACACATGCTTTCTTTCTGTGGTTGTGATTATCAGTAAAGCAGCCTTGTGGGGGGTGGAGGAGAAGACAAACGATCCAAAAGTTGGCAGTTATCCAAACGCTCCTAGAGCACACGTTGCTGAGCAAAAATGAAGGTCAGTGAAAGTGATATTCAATTCAAGATGGCGAATAGCTACCGAATGTTGATGTTCTGGGTATGAAAGGTATGATTTACCGTCCTACTGTGGGCTCATAACGACCCTGTGGCATAATAAATCTTAATTATCACTCGTCCTTGATGTTTCAAATTAGAGTCCGAGTTCAGGACCCGTTTGTCCCTGGACTGTTCAGGGGAGACGCTGACAGCTTCACAGATGTAATCCATAACATACAGATTAAAGTGACCTCTGAGGACATGTGCATTCAAACACACTAAACAAAAACACAGCAGGAAACAGTATGTGGGCCATTTGGGCTCCATGCAGAGTGGTGACCCTGCTGAACTTCCTTTGAACTCCACAAGTGGCGTCCTGTTTTCCTCCTACAGCATACAGTATTAATTAATGGTCACCCTCTAAACAGACCTCATTCGCAGAAGGTTTCATGTGACTCAGTGTATGCAAAGGCGGCAGCTTTAGAATGGTGCTCTATCAGCCCTATAGTTGCTGAAGACATATTCGAGCAGCGTTTGGCTACTATTCAAGACAGAATTGCTAAATGAACTAGGGAACTCACTGGATGAAAGCAGGCACCTTTTACTGTCAAGACACAAAACTAGTTTGTCCTTAAAAACATTGTAAGATGTTGCTGATCGAGCAGCATTCAATGTAGATGCATATTTCTAACTGGATTTATTGATCTACAGTGAAGTCTTAATCATCACAAAACTAGTTTGAAATTGTACAAAAACCTGAAAGAAAAACAAGTCAAGCAGAAGAAAATATAGTTATGAATGAATGCCATCTACTGTAAAAGTAGAAATATATTTTGACCTTTCTTAAAATTCTGAAGTGTCAGAAAAATATATACATTTTTTTTTGCAGTTCATGGGGTTGAACCCACTTAGCCCGTTTCTCACCTGTGATCTGGGTCTCGATCTCGCCCTGCATCTGAAACGAGTCGACGAAGATGCTGCGGTTGCCTATGAAGCGGGCGCAGGCTATACCTCTGTACGGCTGGCAGAATCCTTCTTCATCAAAATCCTCCCTAAGACATTCAGAAAGACAGAGTAGAGAGTGTGGATCAATTAAAAGATTGCTTACTGTTAAAATACATACAGTATGCCTGGAAGAGCAAGAGGACTTCTGCAGATAGTTACACGTGCCCAAACATGCTGTAATACATAAGGATTCCACTAGAGGGTAGTCTACGTTTGAATCTTACACAAAACCAACTTAAGTGGATGGAGAAGGCTGTTTGGACCTAAACCAAGAAAGAGGTCTCCCTTTGGTTGGCTAAAGATAAATCATATTCAAGTCAAAGGCAGAGATCTGAGAGCACGCGCGCATGCACGCGCACGCGCACACACGCACGCACACACACACACACACACACACACACACACACACGCACACACACGCACGCACACACACACACACACACACACACACACACACACACACACACCCCAATTCACAGCACAGATGTAAAGCGCATTAGGAATTAATGTTTGACTGTTTGACTTTATTTCTGTTTCTGCAGAGAGATGTCATCATGAGCCCTGATCTGAAACACATGCGGGGGGGACAGGGGGGACGGGGACGCGGGGGGGAGAGAGAGAATGAGAGAGAGGGACGGGGTTGATGATCATGTATTCACAACTTTAACTTCCTTTGGTGACTCTTGATTTGTCTCTTCATCTTTACCTTCTTTTTAAATCCATTTTTCTATCTCCCTCTTTCTTGTTTTGTCCTCGATCTCTCACCTCTCTCATTTCATACACTCACTCATAAGTGTGCGCACACCCAAACCACATGCCGACTAGCAGGCGATTTGCTCAGTGTGAGATCACAGTGTCATGTGCTTTAAATTGTGCCGTATGGGGACTTAAAGACCAGGCATAACCACAAGATATAGGGGAGTGCATGATGCCACTGTGCATCCACACACAAAGCAAGCACAAACGAACCACAGTGTAGCTCGTGACTGATTCAAAGTGCATATCCAGACACTACTGCTCGAGTACTGACGAACAGAATCACTTTGTTACCGACCAGACTGTCAATCTTTAGAACAAAACGTATTACTTTAAAATATCAAGTGGGTAGATGCTGTTTTCAGAATAAGGAAAAAAACACACTAAAAATGAAACTACGAAAGACGAATTCTAAATATTACTGCCAGGAGCTACAACTTAGTTTCGCTGCTTCAAGTTAATTGGAAAATACTCTACTGTCTTGCGTCATTAAAACACTAATGTCCTGATCCCACTTTATAAAAACACGGGTACATTTCACTTTGTGGTTAACCGTAAAATAGAGCGCCTTGAGGCTTAACGCTTCATTACCATCCAACCGTGTCTGCTGCCCTTGTTGATGAGAGTCAGGTAGCTTACAAGGGACGTAACAGCGTGTGAACTGTTCTAATTACGCCACACACTGTGAAACTTCTCTGAAAAGCTTTAAAGACGCAGCTTAAAACAAGGTGACAATGCTGCATGCACACACACACACACACACACACACACACACACACACACACACACAC